GTCCATTCCTCTAAAGTTGTAGGAGCATTAAGTGATTGAGATGCCAAAAAATGATCGACTATAGGTCTCGCCATAGGAAAAAACAACCCTTTCTTCATATCTTCATCCTTTTTCAAAAGGATGACAAGTTGATTTTTGTAGTCCTTGAAGTATACCATGGTGATTCTACATTGTATGCTAGTATAAAGAGCACCTCCCAAGGATCAACAAGCGCTATGATAAAAAGCACCCTCTAAAGATAATAAATTGTATGCTATTAGGAAGAGTACCTCCCAAGGATCAATAAGTACTATTATAAAGAGCACTTTTCGAGGATAATAAATTGTATGCTATTTTAAAATGCACCTCCTAAGGATCAATAAGTGTTATTATAAAGAGCACCCTCCGAGGATAACAAATTGCATGCTATTGTAAAAAGCACTACTTTAAATTGTTACTAACTTCTCCCACTTCAATTTAAATTTGCTTTGATTATAAACTGATAAATTTGAGATTTAACTGTCAAAAGAATATCAAATAATTAGTCTAAAACAACAATTTATAAAAAAAAAATCAATCAAAAAAAAGTTGAAGTAATAAAAAAAATCACAACAATGTTGGATTTTTTTTTAACACGACAATTTACGATTGTACATACAGGAAGTTGATGAGAAGATATTGGCCAATTCTTGGCCTCTTTAATGTTTGCTTATGTTCATGTAACTTGGCAAGATAAAAGGAGACTTAGCGTGGCAATTGAAACAAGTGGTGGCTTGCATGATTTTAGCATGACAATTGAAACTAATGGTGGCTTGCATGATTTCAAACATGAAAACGTGGCAAGATAAATCATAGTTAACATAATTTAGCATGGCAAGAATAAAGAGTCGAGGAAAAATTGCAATCGGTTTACCATGTAAACAAAATAAGATTTGAAAAAATAAATATGCTTTTACCAACAAGAAGTAGGCAGCTTTTATCTACGGGTCTGCAATTATGAATTGGTGCATGAACTGAAGCAATCGCAACTAAAATATTATGGATTCCAATGTTTTGATGTGAAAAAAATGGATAAGGGAATGCTCTTTTTATAGAGTAAAATTCCTTAATCCTAATTGATTAAGGAATGCAATACCAATTGCAATATACTTATTTTAAGATTGTAGTTTTATTACAATATACTTCTTCAAATAGTTCTATTACAATATACATCTTCTAAAATTATAATTCTCTTAGTTATGGGTAAGCATAATTCAAATTTAATTTGGATTACAAGCATACCAAGACATATTAGGATTATAAAAAATCCTATAATTTTTTTTTTTAAAAAAAATTTCAAGACTTGTTCACTTGCCACATTCAAAATCATGTGTGTACAAGTCTTGAGGGGGCATTTGTAGAAGGAGAAAAATTATCAACCAATTGCGTGCTGCCATATGGATTTAATAATATCTTAACTATGTAATTAATTGTAAAATAATTAATTTATTGATTAAGTTATTTTAAAGACATATAGTTGAACCAATTCACCTATTAGTAATTATTCATCTCTTGAGATAATTTGAAAATAATATTTAAATTGGACTAATAAAAAAATTAGTTATTGATCATCCAATTTATCTCTAAATAAATCAAAATAATTTAGAGATAATATTTATATTTTTGACCAATCACAAATTACTTATTGGTCATCTAATTTATCTCTAAATAAATTAAAATAATTTAGAGATAATATTTATATTTTTGACCAATCAAAAATTAGTTATTGGTCATCCAATTTATCTCTAAATAAATCAAAATAATTTAAAGATAATATTAATATTTTTTACCAATCAAAATTAATTATTGGTCATCTAATTTATCTCTAATAATTATATTAATTTAGAGATGAAAATCAAATTTAATTATTTAATTTATCTCTAAATGAAGTAAGATAATTTAGAGATAATATTTAACTTTGGTCAATCAAAATTCAAGGACTCAAAGTCTAGCCAACCAAAAGACTTTTTATGAGTCATCATAATTTATCTCTAAATAAATTAAAATAGTTTAGAGATAATTCAAAGAGACTACATTCTCATCAAAATCTCCCACTTAACATTATAAATAGGGAGCTTCCCTAAGCCATTTTCATTCATTCAAAAGCATTCGAAAATTGAGAACATTTCAAAGATCAAGAAGTAGAAGATTTTTGAAGTGAAAATCAAGCAACTGTGAAGCTTGTGATCAAGATCAAGCTGCAACGAAGTTCATGATCAAGATATCAAGTGTTCGTGATCAAAATTAAGTCATAAATACCCTTGAAGTAAAGATCAAGTGTTCGTGATCAAGATTAAGTCATAAAGACTCTTGAAATGAAGATCAAGCAAGTTCGTGATCAAGATTAAGTTTAAGTTTGTGACTTTTGAAGACAATGTGAATAAATTAATTAGAGAAATTTCTAGAGATTATCACTCACATCATTAAATATTTGTATTTGTCTCATAATTTTCAAATCAAGAAATTTCAATGAGAAATTTATGTGTATAGAGGGTTCTTGTGATAAAGAAAGGAAGCATTGCAAACAAGTAAAATGATGCATCGGAGGTGATGGAGAGAAAGATCGGAGCAGTTCCTGAAGTACTGAGTATAGTGGCAGCTAGAAGAGAATAATATGAGAATAGATATTATGAGTGAAAATATGCTAGAGAGAGAAGCTCTAAGTGAGAGTAAAGGAGTTATGAAAGTGAAAAGTCTCTCTTTTGAATTGTGAAGGCTCTATATATAATGCTAAAAGTAATGGTTACAAGAAAAAGTTTTAATATATGTAATGAATAATATTATTAAGGAGGGTTTTAATATTAGGTAATTGTTACTGAAAGTTAATGTTGAGTAGCGGTTAGAAACCTATTATGTGACTGTTGAAGTAATTAGATGTAATAAGAATTGTTCTCAAATAGAAACTAACAAAGAAGAGTTGTACATGAATAAGTACAAGAGAAAAAGCTATAATAAGCAGGTACAAAAGAAGAAGTTATAAGTGAATAGGTACAAGCGAATAAGGTAAAAGAGAGAAATATTTGTACTTTAAGAAAAGGTTAAGAAAGAGACCCTTTAACTATCTCCACATCTGAGTCACCAAGCCAAACTCTTCGAAATATCCCAAGATGAAAGTAATCCATGAATCTTGTCACTTATTTTGGATTATTTGCATCATCATCTATGTGAAGTGGTTATTTTATGCAAAATAGTTGTTTTATTTGTATTAGTTGCTCCACATTAAATAGTGCTCCACTTATTTTAGTTATTTCATGTAAAATAGTAATTCACTTCTTGTAATTGTTCTGCGTAAAATAGTGTTTCACTTTTAATGGTTGTTGTCATTATTCTCTATATAATATTATATTATAAAATAATTCTTTAAAGAATAAGTATTAACCAAAATTGACTATCTACATGTGTTACGTAAGAAATCATCAAACCATAAGAGCCACTATTGAAGTTTACCCTAGAACCTATTACACACATGCACAACTATATATTTTTTTGGTCATTATGGTTGATGGTGGAACATTGTACATGTAGGAGTTTTGTTGTTATTCTCTGTCTTACCATTTTCAATAAATGAGGGTTATATTGGTTGTTTAATGTTTAGAGTACATATGTATTTTATTTGAGTTAATTGACAAATGTTCTATTTGAGTTATAAAATGTATTTGATATTGACTCTATATGAGATTTGCATAGAAACATATATACACTGAATTTAAAATTTGATGTGTAGACATACATGCTTTTTAGGTGCATACTACAAATAAAATCTTCTAACTTGTATTTTGGCTAAAAAATTTCTTCTTTTTTCTTTTTGTGGAAAAATCAACACATTTTGTATGAAATTAGGATGCTCTTAGCTTGCATTTATGCATTGTCTTCTAATGGTTGGACTTTGAGATTAAATGTTTCGATGGAGTCTTTGTCTTTTATTGAGCTTGGTTTTTATTTACTGATAAAAAGATTGAATTGCATTAGCATTGTCACATTACTATGATTATCAGTTTATCAGCATTAATCACATATTGAAGGAATAGTTTCAGCAAAGAAGGCTAATAGTTGTGAGTTATTTGGCAATGGAAATTTGTTGAATAGTTAAGGAGTAGAGACGGATAACATTCGAGATGAAGGAATGCTAGATTTTGGCTTTCAGTAGACATTTACATTGAATGATAATAAAAGAAGTTTTGTTTCTTGGAAAATTCAGGAGTGATCTTGTTACGAATTATTTGTATTATTTTTCTTTTATGTAGGAACATAAAATACGAGATTTTGGTTACCTATGTAACGTACATGTATGTCCTTTATACATGTACATACCAAATAACTTATAAGAGCAAAATAATGGGTTTAAGGTTGTTTTGACACCAAACTCATCAACAAATACCAATTTCAATGGAAGCGACAAACAAAGACAAAAAACAATGATGAGCAACATTGAGTAGTAAGTAAAATGTTTTAGGAAGTCTTTTGAGTTTTTTGTTGTTTAGACAAATATAAAATTTGTTAATTTGAAACAAAAAAACAACTCAAGTAATTTATGATAAAGAACCTTTATGCTACTTATCAATGACACAAATTATAATATTATAGTAAAAGAATTTATCCACATCATAACAAATAAGGAAAAATTTTTGTAAATGAATGATGATGAAAATTATTTTTATGAGATGAATTAAATAACAAAAAGTATTTTTAATAATTTATCAAAACAATAAGAATTATTAGGTTTTTTTTATAAAATATTTTATTTTGAATTTTTTTTTGTAAACAAATTATTTTCTGATATGCAAATAGATGAAAATTAGAAAAAAACAAACAACAAAAGAAAAGAAGAGAAAGAGTAAAAAAAAAGTTTGAAACGGCTACTTAAACATAACTCTCGCGGATGAGATGACCAAAAATACTCACGCGCATGTAATGCACGTGGAAGTAACTCTCCTTAACTTTCTGAGCTTAACAGATTTTGTTTGAAACGTACGCTCTCCTTTCCTCATTCGGAAAAAAAAATTCAGAAGGAAAGTGATGGAGAGAGCGTGACGCATAGTCGTTTGCTTTCGTCTTTTAGTTTCTGCTTTTTTCCATTTCTCTAATTTATGCAAATGGTGAATCTACCCCAATCTCTGTCGATGAACACGCCTTTTGGGGGGCCCACCGCGTCGAATCCAACTGCTGCCGGAGCTCCGGCTAATAAGGATAGGAAAATGGCATCGGCTGAGCATTTGGTTCTGGATCTGAGCAATCCCGATCTCCGAGAAAACGCTCTTCTCGAACTATCCAAGGTAATTTAATCTTAAAAAATCGTTAATCTTCTTTTTTGTCCTTTTTACAGTATTTGATTAAGTGATGTTGTTCTGCTCTTCTCCTTTATGTGTTTGACAAAGTAGGGTTTTGGTTTAAATAAAGTAGAAAATTTGGATGAAATTTGATTTTGAACTTTTTACTGGTTTAGTTGATGAGGATACCCATTAGAATTGTAGGCGAAGGTGAAATGTTTTATATTTATGTTACTTCTAAAAGATAAAATGGGGATAAGAATAGAAATATATTGTAGCTAAGTTAACAAAGGAGGAAACTAATTCCAAAATTTTTGGTTTGGCTATTAATTTTTGGGTTTATAGATGGCTTCTCTACTTCCTCTCTTTTTTTTTTTTTCTTTTTACTTTAAGAGATACAAAGTCATGAAAATGGATATTACATACCCATTAATGGGAAATGAATACCTATAGGAATATGAGACTGCTTTTGGGCTCTGGGGAACAAGGACTAGTAAAATATAATGTCGGGAATTTGGAGAAAAAGAGATTATGGAGAAGAGTTATTATTAGAAGTTTGGATTGAATTAGAAGAGGGTTAAAATTAAGAATGGGTCAAATATGGTCTGTCTAAAGCCTTAAAAATTTTTGGACTCTACTCAGCAGTGTACTCTTTATCTTGCATGGTTTCAAGTTTTACGAACTCTCCTGTTTTTAAATGTAATTTTTGACCAGATTTTCACTTGTATGGGTTATTTGTTTGTGTTAAGCCTTTTGCTCTTGCTCACTAGTGTCCTTTTTATGGTTGCATTGCGCATTATTTGTTATGTTTTGATCCTTAAAGGCACAATGACCATGAAGGAGGTCACATGTATTTTGCATCTGGTTCTTATTTAGGATAACACTCTCATATCCATTCTCTATGGTTATGATAGGGAAACTGAAAATTGCTTCTGCTCTTTCCTTTTGCTTCTTTGCTAGTGATGCATTTATCATTTTTCTCATGCAATGGCTTTGGTTTCATTGTAAAGCATTTAGCATTCCATTTAGCTGCATTCGTATGCATTATCATCATAATGATGCTGGATATTGAGGTTGAAATACTTGTCCTGCCTAGGAAATTAGTTAACCATTCATCAAAGCAAGTGATATGGAGGTCTGGGTGGTTGGTTGAAGTGAATCCATCATCTAGGGGCAACTTCTTTAAAAATAAAATATTTAGGTTCATTGTTATTTGTGAAGGTCTAAAAATAAGATATATGGCCCCAGAATAATTGTTCTTGTGCACTGAGCTTGTTAGGTCAATATCTGCAACTTGATCTCCTGTCATGTTCTTTCTCTGTATGTGGTTATGCAATTTAGCTGTTCAGCATTTGTCTGTTACTACTATAAACTAGTGTCTACCTTTGGTTATTTTTTAGAACAAGGAATTATTTCAAGATTTGGCTCCTTTCGTGTGGAATTCTTTTGGTACTATAGCTGCACTCATACAGGTATGCCTAATAAACTTGTTTTTGTTTTTATTTTTAGAAGAGAGAATTATTTCAAGATTTGGCTCCATTGTTGTGGAATTCTTTTGGTACTATTGCTGCACTTTTACAGGTATGCTATTTATGGTTGGTAGTTCATAATTATTCCCTGTTTCCTCCCTCACCCACTCCCGTTCTCCATGATTTTTGTAATTTCTTACTTACTGTTTAATGCATATAAGCTTGATAGAGAACCTTGGCAGTTCATTTTATCATCTTTCTTTTATTGAGTTATTGATGCTACTGCTGTTGTTTTGTGCGCTTTAATTATGGTGTACTTCTTTTAGCAATTTGATATCTTTCCATGTTGCTCATGTTGTAAGCTAGCAGTGTAAGGTTGGATGTGAACATCAATGAAATGAGCAAAGGCAGCTAAAATATTATTTGAAGTTAAAGTAAAATGTCATGGTATTATTTCTTCAAAACTGGATTATGAAAGATGGTATGTCTATGTTGTTACCTTGGTAACATTCCTGTGCATCTTTGTTAACATGCAGTTCATTTTACCAGATCGATTGATATTTGCATCTGCATGATGGCTGCATATGTTCCAGTTTACTGTTTGAGTGTTTCTGCATTTGACTTCAGCTTTGTTTGTTTTGAGAGATTATACAGTGTTCAACATTTTCTTTGTAAACAAAAAATTATGAGTTTCTTTCTTTCTTTCTTCTTCTTTTAGTTTTTTATAGCATGTGAAATTTTTTTATCTGGTGCAATTTCATTCAGATATGGTGTATTTACTTCACATATAAATTCATTTTAACTCGATTTGTACTCTATGCCTTCCTTTTAGGTCCTACTCTATAAGATAGGGGTAGGAACAAGTAGAAGTGGTTGTATTAATTGGAGATATGGTAGAAAGGCATATCTGACTCCACTGGTTAAGGGTGTGTTCTTTTTTGGCTAATGAGAAATGACTTATGAGAAAAAAAGCTTAAATTAGTTTTTCTTTCAAAATAAGGATATATCTGATGTAAACTAATTTTTAGTCTATTTTACATTTTTAGCATACACATGGAAGATGTTCTTTTACATGGAAACATTTTAAATCATGGATTGTTTCCCTCAAAACAAGTATATCCTCGTCGTTTGGAGTCTAATGACCGCTTAATACATTAGACGCTTCTTATATTGTATTTTGTTATTAGTTGAGTTTCCAGCTGTTGAAGTTGAAAATCTGTCATGGTTAGGGGCTTATTCTGTTCAATCCTTGATCCTAAACCATTTTTACTTGCAGGAGATAGTTTCAATTTATCCTGTTCTCTCACCACCAAATCTAACTCCAGCACAATCAAATCGAGTTTGCAATGCTCTTGCTCTACTTCAGGTGATATGTTTTTGGCCTTTCTAAGTTCTTCTGTTATATTGATTTTTACTTCACTTATAGTAACTTATTACCCTAAGGTTGCCTTTTTTGTTAGTTTGTTGTACATGTTTCCTTATATTGTTGTTGAAGGCGAAACAAGATAAAAGATTGCATGATTTTTGTTTATTATTGTATTTGTCAATTAGAAGGCACTGCTAATGCGCCATAATTTTTCATCTTTCTTACAGTGTGTAGCTTCTCATCCAGACACAAGGATGTTATTCCTAAATGGTACTTTATATTCTGATGAGCATACTTGTTTGGTCTTGAGATGCGTATTTGTTGCTTAACACATGTCAGGGATATTTTCTGGTTTCAGTGTGCATTTTTTTTTTTGGATTTTATTGATCTTGAGGTTGCATTGAAAATCAGAACATTGTGCGATTAATTATAGACTATCCTCTGAAATAGGATAGTGATGCTGCCATAAATGGAGCTGCTTCTCAGTTCCTGAGTACAAGTCATTCTATTGAGATTACCTGTTACTAAAATCATAGAAGTTGACATTCCCATGGGAAGGGAGAATAGCAGTTGGAGATTGTGGAATAAACATTTTAAGTGATAATTGAAATATTAATTTCACTATAAAATTTCTTTTGTTTTAAGGAAACTTATCCTTTACGGTGGCGGTGGAGTTCTTAAACTTCCCAAGTGCAGTTTGGTGGACATATTTATGAAAATTAATAAGTTAATTAATTATTAAATGGACATATGGAAACTATCTAACTCTGCTTGTGGAGCTCCATTGCCGGAGCAAAGAATAATAATCCAAATTCCTTTTTCAAGTATAAGTCCAGTTAAAAGACTGCTGGAAAATTTATATAGTAGCTGATTGGTTGATTAAATGGATTGATCTATACTTCATCTTATAACAACTGTCATGATTTTCTACTTTAAGATGGCCGCGCAAAATTGTACAATATTAAAAGTCAAGGGCTAATCATTTCCAACAACATTTAATAACTTTTCAACTATGATACAAAAGGGAGTTAGAAGATTATACTCCATTTGTGTGGGGGAAAAATTGTCAGCTATAATTTAATGCATTTTCTTAGTCTCTGAGCTTTTACAAAGAGAAGAATATTGACAGAGGGAGTAAATTGGTTTCTAAATTTGTTCTTTATTCTAAGGTTGTACTGGCAGAAAGTTTGAATTAACGTTGGACATTCGCGTTATTGTCTTTTTTAGGTAGCTTTGAACTAGAAGTCCTTCCCTCTGCGCACCCTATGCCCTTTGGGCTGTGTGCATAGCTTGTTCATAGAGGGTTGCATTGTGTTGATTTTTCCATATCATCAGTTGGTTTCTTAACCCATTTGCTGGTTGTTAGATGTGTTCTTTTCATCCTTCTCTCCCCTCCTTAAGACAATATCTTTGTCAAATGCTTAGGCATTTGTGATGTTACTTTCTTGCTTCATCTATGACATTAACGGATTGAATATCGTCTTTCATCCCCTATATAAAGTTGTATATGTTCTAATTCATGCCTGTCACTAATTATTTTCCATTTGCAGCACATATACCCTTATATCTGTATCCTTTCCTTAATACAACAAGTAAATCAAGACCTTTTGAGTACTTGAGGCTTACTAGCTTAGGTGTCATTGGTGCCTTGGTGAAGGTAAATTCATTCTTGCTTTATTCAAGTTGATTTTGTTGCCAGCATTGTGATCTTCATGGATTATAATGCCATTATATGTTTTACTAGAACATGCTAGGCTGAAGGAAATGCATTACCCAAGAAGGGTGTGAAAGAGTTCTAAAGGCAAATCAATGGTCTATGATTATGGGGAGAATTGAAGTGGATCCATGATAAAAACATAGAAAATAGCAAAGATGTTGTTTACCCAATGTTATAAATAGCACAGAGGGACTTTGCACATCTGCAACAGATAATTATAAACTTGGATGGGACCCTTTGGAAATTTATGTACAATGAGACTTGCATTAATTGGTGTAAAGAGAAAGCTTCCATAGCTATTTTACAAACCAGCCTGTAATTTGATTTCTTCTATGTGTCACTTGAACTCTGTAATCAGCTAGCCGGTAGCAAGTATCCATTTCTTGTTTATGAGGAGCTCATACAGTGAAGTACATGACCTAGGGAGTTTCCCCATTATTATGTGCTGTTGTCTCTTTAGTGCAGAGGATTGTGAACCTTTATTTCCTAGGTAGTTAGTGATTTTTTATCCACTTATAAAATGTAAATTGATATGTATCAAAACAAAAAGAAAAGAAACGAAAAGAAAATTACTATATTGCTTTTGCTTTTCTTTCCCCTCTATTTGGTCTCTCAAGTTTGAGAGCATGCAATACATGCTCTGGATCTTGGGTCTGTTTAATAAAATATATTAGTATTTTTGCTAATTACAGGTAATGATATTTGCTTGCAACTTTCACTTCCTTTCCTTCCCTCTGTTATGAATGTGTGGGAAACAGAGATTATAATGGTCAAATTTGAGACAAACTAACAGTTATCTCTTTGTTGTTATTCAAAATGTTGTCTGCATAATTATTCTAAAGATATTAATAAAATGAGCCTACTTTATTTCTTTTGCAGGTTGATGATACGGAAGTTATTAGCTTCCTTCTTTCAACAGAGATAATCCCGCTATGCCTGCGCACAATGGAGATGGGTAGTGAACTGTCGAAAACAGTTGAGTTTGTTGATTTTGTACCTTTGCTTTTCTAATTGTGCTGAATTATCTATTTTTTCTGTTTCCTTATGTGTTTTATCTGAAAATATGTTTGTTATTCAAGTAGCAGGATTTGGGTGGAATTGTGTGATAACTAACATGCATGCCTGGTGGTGCCCATGGCGGGGCAGCCTGCCCAGGCCTGCCATTCCAGCCCTTATTTTGAGTGGGATACAACATGTTTTATTTTATTTTGTGGCGTACTTGGATAACAATGCCAAAAATATTATTATGAAATATATATTTAAGATATATATTGATTTATAGATTTTTATGATAATTTATAAGTTGTTGATAACACCGTATGTTTTTTTAATATAAGTTTTATACTGTTTTATTTATTTATTTTTTTGAAAAGCAAGTTTTATACTATTTTATACTGAATACTTAATGAATGGGCTTGGGTTTCCAAATCTAGGTTCCACTTGAGCTCGGCTTAAGCCTGACTTGTATTTTTTCTTGGACTTGGACTAGGCAAAGGCCTGCTTATGCACATCTGATAGTACGCACATGCTATATTTTAATTTTGCTTACATTATATACTAGAAAAGTAAATTAGAATATACAATTTTTTATGGTTTGTTAGCATCTCAAAGATCGTGTCTTGTTATTTGTATTACATTTCAAAGTCAATTTGGGGTGGAGATAGCATGTCTTGGAGGTTTATGCTCGTGTCACCTGCCTAGACTTTAGTCTGACCCCTGTGCAGCCTTAGGCTCCCCTCATACGCTACTGGGCACCTAAGTGAGCCTAGAAACCCATATTACCCTCTAAGGAAGGAATGAACCAAGAATATGCAGCAGAAAGTAAGCTAGAAAGGAGAGTTAGGAAAAGGGTATTGTATTCACAAAAATACAATATCTACACAAGAGAAACCCCAAAAACCTTTGCCTATGATAGGGGTGGGGAGGAGCTCTTTCACTCCACACCATCACATCCGCCAGCTACCCTTTGCTTGGTGGGGGTGTCCTTTTATAGGGCAAGGAAACCCCTTTACAAAGCCCTCCTCCTCTCTAACGGCTAGGAAGAGCCTTTGCCATGATTTCAAACTCCTAGCCTGTTAGAAGACTGTTTCTTCCCGTGGGAACAGTGAGCAGATTGTTGGAGCAGCGCTGGTGTGCTGCCTACCGTTGGCAAGGCCAGCTGGCTCGCTGGCATGCAGTCTGGCCTGACTTGGTGTACAGGCGGTGCTGCTGGTGGCTCCTTTGCCATCCTAGTCAGCTTGATGGTCCCCTTCAACCATATCCGCTCAGCTGGTGGCCCTGATGACCTGTTCCTGGTGCTCCCAAGGCATCCCTCATCTGGGCTACTCATGTAAGGCGTGACATGCTCCCCCTCAATCTAGCGACAGCCTTGTTGTTGAGGGTGATGGTACCTGTTTCATGCTTCCTCGCCTAGCATATGCTATTGCATCACACACGTAGCTTCAGCACCTCACCACCTTGCATGCTCTTGGTTGAACGTCATTGTCTCGGATCTGTTTGGCCCTGTGCACTGCAACTCCCTGTGATGATGCCTTGGATGCTCTCGCCTGGCATGTTGTCTTGTTGCATGCTGCTTCCTTGGGCATCACAGCCTTGCACTTCCTCTGCTGCACCAATCGATGCTGCAGACTTGCATCCCTCTGCCTTGACCTCTCTGTTGAGCAAGCATTTTGCTGGTTGTCATGCTTCTCCCTCTGGCTTCCTTTTCTGATGCACTCTGTGCGACTTTCGTCTCATGTGCTTTCAGCCAACATGCCCAACACGTGTTTTGGGTGGAACCTTTTTAACTTGATGGAGTTTGGCGGCATCAGGTTTGGATCATGTCTTGACACTGGTACTCTACTACAAGTGGTACTGGATTTGGGTTTAGTTTAGGCTGTTGACATTTTAAGATTAGGTGGGTTGGGATTTGGTGTCAGTGGGATTGGGCTGGCTTTTGCTATTTCTAGCTGATGCCCTATTTCTCTTGCTGATGTGTTAAGTTAGTAAAGAACACAAACTTTGCTATACAAATGTTGCTGACCATCCTCACTTTACTCATTAAGAGATTCATAGCGAGAGTTCTATATTTTCTGCTTCTTATGTGATTGCTGAGTTTTGTTAGCATGACTAGTTCACAAAGGACTTTCAATGTTCTCATTGTGTTGCTTTCGCTTCACAGAGTAAGTTATATACCAGCTAGTAGATAATGGTAATTACATCACCAATTTGCAGAATATTCCACCCTCCTCCCCACCTCTTTTTTTAGGAATTTTATTAGGTCTATGTTCTCTCGAGCTGTAGCATGTTATAGTCTGGGGCTGCATAGGAGGCAGCAGATTGTGGTGAAATGCGAGCTATCTGAAATGGTTGTGCACTTGACAGCTATTCCACCTCATTGTTAGAGTTGATTCTGTAATAGTTGATTTTAATAAGTGGTTTATCCTGAATTCATTGGATTATGTATGAGGTTCTTGCTTCCTTGATATGTGACAAATGATTTTGTGATGGCAGGTTGCCACTTTTATAGTTCAAAAGATTCTATTAGATGATGTTGGCTTGGACTATATTTGCACTACGGCTGAGCGGTTTTTTGCAGTTGGTCGAGTTTTGGGAAATATGGTTGCAGCACTTGCTGAGCAACCCTCTTCACGACTGTTAAAACATATTATTCGATGTTATCTTCGATTGTCAGATAACCCTAGGTTTGTTAATCAAGTTGATCATGGGCCCATGTGTCAATTTTTGGGTCTAAGCTTACGCTCTTTCCTTTTCCATAATTTTGTTTCTGAGGTTGTTTTCATAATACAGGGCTTGTGATGCGCTAAGAAGTTGCCTTCCAGATATGTTACGAGATGCCACCTTTAGTACTTGCCTTCGTGTAAGTACTGAATGTTTAATTTATATTCCTTTTTGTTAATTTTGTTTTGGCTATAATCAAGTACATGTTATTCAAATTATATTTTATCTTGAAGAGTCCTGCTGAGAAGGGTGGTATTCAGCCTATTTCATATGTGAATTCAATAATCAACATGTGATAATACCTAAAAATGCCCTCGAACTTCACCCAAAAGTGTAGTTCAGTAGTCCATCTGTTATTGCTTTCAGTTAAACATATATACTTCTATCTCAATGCAATTTATAATCTTTATTACAAAGATGTGTGCGATGTAGGCCACTAAAACATCAAGACACCACTTCCTGTTGGTTATGCTTTGTTTGCAGCCATGTGGCGTTTGTAATGCTTTGTTATTGGCCATGTGGCATTTCATAAAAAAAATAAAGCTAAAAATTAAATATTACTATTATTTTTGTCTGACTTTGGAAGATAGTCAATTTTTTCCTTGCTTTTCTTTGTTTTTTCCCCCTTATTTCTGTTTAACTTTTATTGACATGATATGGTTGATGGCTTTCACTTGAAATATAAAATTTATAACCTGTAAAAATTTTCAGCAACCATTTTGCTTCATTTGACATAAAAAAAAATAATTGAAAGCTAAAATAAAAAGTCACCAAAGCTTTTCAAGATTGCTTCTTATGTTTTTCTCAAAGCATTTTCTGGTGCTTGATTTTACTTTTGCATCAGGTTTTGGATTTTGGTAATTGTATTATAGAAAGAGAGAAAGACAGACCTAAGAGTTGGCCTTTTTCTTGTTGAGCTTGTTAATTTACTTGGCTTCTAGGTGAATTTGGTGTACCAAGACTAGTCAGTCATGTAGTCGATTTGCAAAGGAGATAATTGAGAGAAAGAAAATTAATCAAGATTATCATCTAAATAATTTAAATATATATATATATATATATCGGTTAATTATATTAAGTGTACTAATTTTATTTTTGTTAAGTGGAAAACCAAGATAGAGGAAAGTGGAAGAGTGGAATTAAAAGAGAGTTGAGTGAAAGGGGAGCCAAAGAGAGAGAGAGAGGGTACTTGGAGAAGACTCCAACAAGATGTAGAGAGAAAGTGGAAAGCTATTGTCGACCTTGTGGTCTGTTTCAGCTAGATCTTGCTTGACCTGGCGAAGTTGCTGCTACCTCAGGCAGTGGCAGGCCAGAGAAGGCCTGCTCTAGGTGTGTGGAAACAGCAATTTTTCCGACTTCAAGGCTGGCTGGCTGCAGGGAAGAAAAAGGAAACAAAATTTTTCCCTAATCTTGTTGTGCATGTGGACATAATTTTAGCAGCATTTTTTTAGTTCAATTTTGCCTGCTAAGCATGATAATGGATTATTCATATTCCTTAATGGGTTAATCATACAAAATTTGAGCATGTAGCCTTAATTGAATGCAATAAAGATACAGGGATGAATTACATTATTGAGTGAAGTTTGAGGGTATTTCCAGGTATTATCTCTATCAACATATAGATATCTGTGCATGTATGTATTTGAGGGATCAATTATTGTCAAATGTCTTCAGGGTTACTAACTTTTATGCCCGTTTGTGAAATTATGATCTATATTTTAATAAACTGACTTAGATTTAACGTTTTGTTTATGTTTCTCCTTTCAGTAAAATTTCAAGTCAATGAATATGTTTAACTTCTATTTTTTTTTTTCAAATTTAAAAAAAATTGTGGAAGTGACTTAGGGAATTGTATAAATTTAATGCTAATAGATATTAAATTGACTTTAATTTTGTCTTGTGACGTTACATTGAATATTGTTCGACCATTAGCTTTGTAAAATGCTATTAATAATGCACTCGAAAGAAAAATACTAGTAATAATATGTAAGTTATTGATCCGTATTCTTTGTACACATTTCAGTTACAATAAAATGGAAAGGTGTACATGTACATTTATTAGAAAAAAATACCTTTTTTCTTGGCATAGTTTAAGTTGATCTTACACTCTTTACATATCTGCTGAGAGTTTTTGAGACTCCATAGTATTATGTTTGATGGGCTTCAGGATTTTAGTTGTGTATCGTTATGCTTGTGGTTATTTGTTAATGTGTAGTGATTGGGTTCTTGACTGTAAAACCTACATTGGGAGAATAGTTAAACAAGGTGACTTTTTAGAGGACTTATCATCTATAGATCTTTAAGAAGATATAGCCCACAATTGACCAGAATGGAGAAAAGGTTCGTGTCGCTGATTGAGGTTGTTTTAAAGATAAAGGCACGGTTGAGTTTGGTCAGTTGTGACTGCTGGTTGTTGGCTGCCTGTGAAATTTATTTTATTTTGTGGTGTTAATAAAATCCATTTTATCTAAACTTGTTGTTCTTGCAGAAATGATGTGTGTACATGTGTTCTGGAACTGGAAAAGAGAATTATTCAATTTAAGCAATGAAATCTGAGTAATCTTAATGATTGGGTGATGGGAAACTTATCTTTTTGGTCTCATCCTCTTTTTTGATGCTTCTAGGAAGATCAAACCACTAGAAGGTGGCTGCAGCAGTTGCTTCACAATGTTGGGGTGAACCGGGTGCCAACCCTGCAGGCTGGTGGGGGATTTGATCACATGCTGGTTAACTGAATAGCTTGCACTTTTTCTTGGCAAATTCAAAGCTGGTTTCAGCAGGGAGGGAGGTGTCCTTTATGATTTTATCTAACTAGTGTTTTTGTAATTAGTGATTTGGCCTTGAAAGAAAAATCCAGTTGGAGATTTAAGCTGGTGGGACTGTTTAAATGTTTTCAATCCAAATTGTGTACATTTTTGTTAACTAATCCCAATGTATAATGAAATAATGATCAGGCTGCTGATTGGTATCATCTCTTGCTTTGTTGGTTTGTTTGTTTGGGGAATAGTTCAGTCATTCCCCTTTTATTCTTAGGTCTTTTATATTACCTTGTTTGGTTCATTTTTTAATCAAGGAATAGTCCTTTCTTCAATACATGGAATAACTAATATTAACCTCCCACGGTATTAGTTATTTCAAGCTTTATGAAATAGAGTTTAAATAGTTATGGGCAACCCTGCATATAATGTAAACTTATTACTTGTACCATATTAATATTTGAATAATAAATTTTTAAATTTATTAATTTTTGATAAAATTTTAATAAAAAAAATATTAACAGAAAAAAGGGAAAAAATTAAACGGGAAAGAAATTAAAAGACTGAGAAAGGAAAGATGAAAATAAAGACAAAGTAATAATAACAATAAATTAAAGTAAAAAGCATACATAACATTTTAATACTACATTTTTAATATTTTAACAATAAAAATTAATATTTGAATGATAACTCGAGGTGGCAAAATGATTTGGACATGAAAATAAAGAATGAAAACTTTTGATCTAAAGAATGAGAATAGAACTTTTTGAATTCAAAGTTACGTCGATAAAAGTGGAAATGTTGTAAGAATTTAATTTAAAAATAAAAATATAATATTTAATCATTAGTTTCATTTGAACTTAAATTCAAGGTATAATCTAAATTTAAAATGATTCTATCGAATTGATTCATATGTTATCTTTCTCTAACAATAAACTAAAAATGATTCAATCAAATTAATTCATTTATTATTTTTGTTAAATAATAACCGTTAATCTGAACTTAAAATGATTCAATCAAATTAATCTATTTATCACTTTTGTCTAACAATAATTATTGATCTGAATTCAAAATGATTTAAACGAATTGATTCATTCTCGGCCTCTCTCTCTCTCTCTAATGATCACCATAATTTTGTTGAAAAGAAGGCAAATTAGACACTGCTTTGTTTTAGGGCTTAGGCCTTTCTTGGATGCAAGTCATTATTGATTTTGTCTAGTCTTTTCCCATCTGGAAATAGGCAGTGCAAACCATCTCCATTGTTGCCATCATTTGTATTTACTACTGAATCTCACACAATGAAATTTGGGAAGTCTCACTTGAATTCCATCTTTTTAGCACTTGAGCTTCTTAAGTTTGCTGCATCATGAATGAAGTTCATGGCCTCCCAAGAAAGGAAGGACAGGCTATTTCCCAAAATTATGAAATGAATCCCGATGTGAATTTCCCAAAAATTATGCACCGTGAACTAGTTTGCTTTGCTGGTGTGCTTATTCAATTACAGAATCCAAACAGATTCCATTGAAGACAATTGTCCACTGACCCAAGTTAAATATTGTAGGAAAATCTTTGACTACCTTCTCCAATGCAAATGATCAGCTGCCATATAATCTGCAAATTTACACTTAAAATACCCTATTTCTGGTGGAAAATGAGTTCTGTCTAGATATAGAGAACTTTCTCGTTATTGTTCACACTAGGTGGTCGCTTGTTGCAAAGAGGAAGACAGACACTAGTAAGTGAGTCACCTAATTCATTAACCCATGCAACATATTTTTTATTTATAAGTTTATATAGAAAATGAGGCTCTTTAAAAGAAATCCAGTACATTGATTATGTTCGGATAAAAAGGTGTATTTTGTATTTCACATTGTAGCAATTATGGGGTCCACGTTTTAATTTTTTATTAGTTTTGGTTTTTATCCAACGGTTTTCTCTTTTTAATCATATGATAATCAATTGTTGCCTTTAAACAGATAGATTTCTTATTAACGTAGGTATTTATGTATCTTTACTTTTCATTCTCAAATTTTCTCTCTCCATCAAAATTTTTGATTTCATTTTCAGCAGTGTTAAGTTTATCAAAATGTAAAATTTATCATGCTATTAGAGCCCTTAGTGATGTTAAAGGACCAGTATTTTAAAACCAGAAAATATCAAATGAATATTTAGCCTTCTAAATAGTATTATCAACCAAAAGCTCTTCATGGCATCCTCAAATTTTAATGCAGCTGCACTTCCAATATTCTCAAGTGAAAATTATTAAATTTGGATGGTCAAAACGAAAGCTTATCTTAGGGCTTTCTATCTCTAAGATGTTGTTTCGATAAGACTTGAACTCTTGGAATTAAGATAACACAACTCAACCATAGCTTAATTAAAATAGCATAGTGAAGAAGTTTCTAAAAGATTCAAAGTATTATTATGTATTCACTCTACTATGTCTGACACAATTTTTATTAGGATCATGACTTGTGAGACAGTTAAAAAAGCTTGGGACAAATTGAAGAAAGAATTTCATAGAAGTGACAAGACTAGATAAATTCAAATTCTTAATTTGCTTAGAGTATTTGATATATTAAGATTGAAAGAGGATAAAGTGTTAAAGATTATATAAATAAAATTACGAAACTTGTTAACCAACTAAGATTATTAGAGAAAACTTGACTGAAAAATGGATAGTGCATAAAATTCTTGTGAGTTTGCTAGAGAAATTTGAAGCCAAAATTTCTTTTATAAAGGACTCCAACGATATCTCACAAATTTTAGTAATTGAGTTGATTGATGCTCTTCAAGCTTAACAGCAATGAAGAGCTCTAAGACAAGAAAATTCCATTGAAAGAGCACTGATTGCTAGAGCAAAAGAGAAAGGCAGCAGTAATAGTCATTTCAAGAAAAATGATTATAACAGAAAAAATAAAGTAAAGAAAGGCACTGCTGGAAAACTAGGGAAAGGCAAAGTAAAGTTTGCTCCTTGTCTTTATTATAAAAGGAAAAATCATTCCAAAAAATTCTGTTGGTTTAGACCCAACGTTAAGTGCAGATTATGCAACCAAATGGGTCACATGGAAAGAGTTTGCAAGGAAAAAGACACGCATAATGAACAAAAAACAACGATGATGGAACAACACGAAGAAGAAAATAGACTCTTGTTCATGGTGAGGAAACCTGATAAACTAAATAGAGCAAACACTTTGCTCATTGATAGTGCCTACTCTAATCATAGAATAAGGAGAAATGAGAATTTTTTTAATAAGTCACAAGTTGACTGCTTTAAAAATTGAAGGTATTGGAATTGTGGGAGTGCAAACTGTGAATGGTATTAATTCAATTGCAAAGGTCAAGGATGCACTAAAGGTAAGCTAAAACCTTCTTAGCGTGAGCCAATTGGTGGAAAGTAATTATGTTTTAATGTTTAAAGACGGATGTTGCAAGATGTTTGATGCAAATGAAAGTAAATTGTTCACATTGGGAATGCATAATAGATGCTTTCCCGTGAACTAGATGAAAATAAAACAACAAGGATATGAATACATTTTATTTGACACTGACCATGACTCACTAAGTCACATGGACATGTCAAACGTGATTGATGGGTTGCTAAAAACCATAAAATTAAGAAAAGTTTGCAAGATAAGTCAATTTGGCAAACAAACAAAGACACCATTCCCAAAATGAAGTAATTCAGGTACCCATAACAAGTTGCAACTCTTTCATGTAGAAGTGGGAGGCCCCATGATAGTCATATCTCTCAATGAAAATTTCTATTATCTGCTGGTTATTGATGACTTTATAAGGTACAACTGGGTTTATTTTTTAAAAAGAAAAGTTGATGAGTTTGACAAGTTCAAGAGGTTTAAAGTCTTGGTAGAAAATGAAGCGAACTGTAACATAAAAGGCATTAGATTGGATAATGTGGGTGAGTTTAACTCAAGATGAGTTTAAAAATTATTTGAGTACAAATGGCATCAAACACTTTACCACTAAACCATACAATCCCCAACAAAATGACGTTTGTGAGAGGAGCAATAAAACCTTGATTTAGATGGCTAAATGTCTTTTTCAAGAGAAAGAAATAGCTAAAACCTTTTGGGCGGAAGCCGTAAATGTTGCAGCTTAATTGCTCAATATTTTTCCAATTAAAGCATTAAACATGAAGAGCCTATTTGAAGCATGGCATGGAACCCAAATCTTCAGTCTTCCATTTGTGTGTATTTGGATGTCCCTGCTATGTAAAAATTCCTAACAAAAGGCACACAAAGCTTGACACAAAATCTGAGATTGCTTTCTATTTGGATTTTAGTAAGGCTTCTAAAGGTTATTGGTTTTGCAATGTGCATACAAGTAAGGTATATTTGTCAAGAGATGTAAGGCTTGAAGAAGACATGAGATGGAACTACAAGACTAACCAAGTTGAAGGTCTTCAACATAAAAACAATGATGATGGAAAAAGTATCAAGGAGACTGATGAAGAAGACGATGATGATTATGCTGTAAGAGGTATGAGAAGCCTGCAAGAATTTTATGAAAAGTGCAACATGTCCACTGTAGAACCCATAACCTATTTTGGTGCAGCAAAAAGCAAAGCTTGGCAAGAAGCAATGCTTGTCGAAATGGATGCAATCAAGAAAAATGGTTCACGGGTATTAGTTGATAGATTAAAAAAAAAGAGAACCATAGGTGTCAAGTGAGTATATCGAACCAAGCTAAATGCAAATGGTTCAATGAATAAGCTCAAGGTTGGACTTGTGGCCAAAGACGACTCATAAGTGTTCGAGACCGATTTCATCAAGATTTTCACACCAGTAGCTCGCCATGATATGATTCAATTATTATGTGCTTTGGCTATAAGAGAAAAATGGTTTATATGGCACTTGGATGTCATGATTGAGGAAAAAGTTTATGTTGAGCAACTAGAGGAGTTTATGGAGAAACGAAATGAAGATAGTTTGTAAACTCATTAAAGCCTTGTATGGCTTAAAATAGGCTCTAAGAGCTTTGTATGAATGAATTGACGGCTACTTGCTTAAGAAAGGATTCAGTTGCAACTTTAATGAACCAACTCTACATGTCAAGAGCTCACATGACCAAGTAAGTCTAATAATTTCCCCTTATGTTGATGATATTTTGGTGACAAGATCCAATAGTTTTGAGTTTAAAAATTTCCAGATCTAAATCAAACAAGAATTTGATATGATTGATCTAGGAAAATGCATTACTTCTTAAGTTTTGAAATCATAAAAGAACCTTAATATATTTGTCTTCATCAAAGCAAATATGCTCAAGAATTTCTCAAAAGGTTTAATATAGAGTCTTGTAAACTAGTTGATGCCCTTGTGACTTTTGAAAATAAACTATATAGAAAAGATGATGCTACAGCTACAAACATGTCTCAGTATAGAAGTTTGGTGAGCAGTCTACTATATTTAATAGCATCTAGACGTGACATAATGCATGCAGCGAGTGTTCTGTTACAGATACATGCAAAATCCTTTTGAGACTCATATGATAGCAAAAAAACGAGTCCTACGATACATCAAAGGAACTGTAAAATATAGACTAAAGTATATCCATAAAAAAAGTGAAGAACTTATGAGATTTTGTAATGGTGACTACATCAATTGTTCATTTGATGCCAAAAGCATCACAAGTTTTTGTTTTTCACTTGGAAGTGCTGTATCTGCATGGAACTCAAAAAAATAGAAAACAATGGCTTAATCTTTTGTTGAAGCCGAATATGTGGTTGTTGCCTCAATTGCAAACCTGCACTTTGATTAAGAAGAATTCTAAATTACTTGAGTTTTAAATAGGTTTGTGAGACAATAGTTTGACTTGACAACCAATTTGCAATAGCCATTGCCAAGAATTCAGTACAACATGGTCATACCAAGCATATCAAAGTCAGATATCATGCAATAAAAGATGCTATAAAGAATGAAGAAATCAGTGTGGAATATTGCAATATAGATGAACAGGTTGCAAATATTTACATCAAGGGATTAGGTAAAGATCAAAGTTGGGTTGTGCAAGACAGAACTCAAGGTGGTGTGTTAAAAAATGAACTCTGTCTAGACATGGAGATGTTTTTCATTGTTGTTCACAGGTGGTCCCTTATTGCAAGAAGAAAGACAATCATGTAAAAGTGGGTTATGTGATTCATTGATCTATGCGGTATTGTTTTTAGTGATATAAGTTTATATAGAAAATGTGGCTCTTTAAAAAAGACCATATTCATTGATTATGCTTGGGGTCCACAATGGTACTTTGCATGTGCTATAATAGTAGTTATGGGCTCCACATTTCATTTTTTTATTGGTTTAGATATTCGTGTGTTGTTTTAACTTCACTTTTCGTTCTCAAATTTTCTTTCTTTATTATAATTTTTGATTTAATTTTTAACAACGTGTTAAATTTATCAAAAAGCATTTTGATTTGGTGCCAAGGCAGCTGTAAATGAAATTAGTTGCTCTACGAAGTTATATGAAACTAGAACTAGAAAATTGTTCCATTTTAGTGAGGGAAGAGGATATATATTACAGCACGCGACCTTTGTTCTGAGAATGAAAAGATTTATTTATATCAAGACTTGGTGGTACGTAGAAAATATTCATTCTTATATATCTGCAAATGCATTGTACAAAGTAATCGTGGTAGGCTTTTAAAAGCAGGACTGTTTCGCTCTCTGATTTGTACAGAAGAGCACAAGAGCTCGAGACAGAGAGATTATTTCACCTATAAATTATCTTCCTAAATTCTATAAAAGCTGCTGATTTATTGATAAGACCAGCAAATTTGCATAATATTATAAGCTGAGAAGGTATATTACTTCTGTCACAAAACAATTGACTAGTAGCGAAGCATTAAGAACCCTTTACCTTGACTTAATGATCTCTTCTTTCATGGCAAGGGAAAGAGAACTTAGACTCCCTCCACTCTCCACCCTTACCCCAGGCATGACCACTGCTCTACTTCCTATAAACCCGCCTTCTCCAATTCTGATTTTCCCAAACTTAACTTTCCCACCTTCTCCTTCATATATGTGACCAAACAAGTGAGCTTCCCTTCCTACACATCCTCCTCTCTCGATCTCCACCATTTCAGGATTCAGTGAAGCTCCCATGCTATCCACATACACCCCTTGGTCCAGTTCTATATCTGAACCCATTAACTTCATCCACAGCACGAACAATATAGATCCACCAGTCATTTCCATGAAATATTCCCCAACTAGGGTTCTAAAAGCTTGCCAGATGGTGTCCATGAAGACCCCTTTGCTCCAAATCTGTACTGTTTCACCTTCATTCTTCTTTCCCACAAGAATCCATTTGGCCACAACACAAGTTAATGCAGCTATAAGTCCTGAAGAAACCCAAAGCAACGGAAGCAACCAATGTAGGGGGAATTTCTTTGACTCCTTCATGTAAAGAACAGAGCTTAAAGGCGCAAAAATTGCTAATCCCAGGAGGAAATAAGGGAGCACAGTTTGTAGTAATGGTTGAACAAAAATTGCCCATGAGGTTTGATACCACGTTCTTTCCAGGGTCACTTTCCCTCTTTCCTTTTTCTCCAATGCTGCTGCCATTGGACAGCCTGAAAGGTCCACTTTTACATCAGATTGCTCAAGAAAGATCCTCCAGGCCTCAGGAAGTGGTTCCTTATTTCGCAAGCATTGGCAAATCTCATAGATAAGAGAGCGACCATGATCAATAGAAGCACTCTGAGAGGATGTTGAAGCCCGGATGACATCAACCTCATGGCATCTGAGAAAAGGATTAAACTCTAGTGCTTCTGCTTCTTCCTTGGTGAGATTTTGTTCAATAAAAATCTCACCAACATTGATATAAGGGAACTCAGTCTCATCCCATGGTTTAGTGCAGTCAAGTGCAATGTCACGTGTGGCTTCATCTTGTGGAACTGGCCGGACTTGTAATTGGAAGATGTAGCAAACACCACCAGAACTTGTGCGGTGCTGGAAATCTTCAGCAAGAAAAAGTAGGGGGCGGGTATCGTTATCATCCCTTGGAATGGCACCTGTTTCTGGTGGGAGAATCCCAGTAGGTTCCACCTTCCCAGCATCCTCACTGATACTTTCATCATAAGGTCTCAACTTGAATTTCACATACGATTCCTCTCCATCTGCGAATCGAAGAAGCCTAACAAAATTTGAGTAATAATGTAACTCTGTATATGAGTTAGCTTGGCGAAGGGACATCCACACTGCATCACGGACATGTGGGACTCGCTTTACATGCTCTTCTCTTGCAGCAAGCCCACACACAAGCCATGTTGCAAAATCGGCTATTGTGCGAGCATAAAACGCCTTGCCAGTTTTAAGTGTTAAGTCAAGGAGTGGGGTGTTATTCTCTTCAAGTATCCTCACTGCAGCACCGCGAGCATCTATTCTTGCATCATCATCAGCACTCAAGCTATTGCTATGTCTAACTACGACACTGTAGCATTTTCCAGGTTGGAAAATCTTGTGATCAGGAAAGCCTTCTATCTTGTCATATATTTTCAAATAGCCATTCCCTCCAACACCAATTCGATGAAAATATCTTGAATTAACCTTCAAAGTAGTAGCAGCTAAACTTGCGGCCAAATTTCCTACTATTTTCTTATATTTCATGTCCATTTCTTCTATCCGATCATCCAAAGCATGCTTGGTATTCTTGACCATGGTCAGAGTTTGAGATCCAACATAAACACCACCTCTTTGTAGAACTGAGTTTTCTGGAGCCACTGAAAGTGCACCAAGAATTACATCCCTTTCAACTAAAGAGCCAGGGAGGATTAGGCTTTGACTCCCAACAACTGAATTATCTTGCACCTCAACTTTCTTGCCCATAAAGCCATTGCATGAATAGAATCCTGTAATGATTCTGCTAAAGTCACCAAGATGAACACCATCCCCGATTTTGACCAGCTCTGGATCTGAAATTGGATTGATAGCTCTGATTGAACAATGTTGCCCAACCTTGGCACCCAAAAGCCTTAAGTACATACAAAAAGCTTCTGTTCCAGAAAGAAGTTTGGCAAATCTGAGGTGGCAAGCTATGGTAATTCGGTGTCTAAGGAATAACTTGACATGAGATTGCTTTGACTGTTGTCTCTCAGTAAGAAGATGGGTTAAAGCGCATGTAAGGAAACTGAGTATTATGCCATGAGCTAAGTAAGCAACGGCAACTGAGATGGCAAAGCTTGCTGGATTCAATGTGATGCTAGCAAACATGGTAACGTATGCAATAACTGTGAAAGGAATCCAATGCAAGGCTCCAGATATGCAAACAAATGCAAAGTGTTGAGCAGAAGGAGGAGTTTTGGAGAGCCAAACGCATAGGAAATAGAGAATAGCTGCAGAGAAACCGCTAAGGAAACCCACCAAGTAGATGCCCATGAAGTGGGACATGGTCTTGTTTGGAGTAGCATTTGATAGCACTGTGCTCTGAACCCATGGCAGAAAAGACAATATATGATCAATTTCCAACTTATCTCATTAAAAAAAAAAGGAAGAAGAAGAAAGAGAAGAGTTCATATACATGAAATCCTGTATGATATTTTCTTAATGATACTAGTAGAATTAAGCACTATAAGCTTGATCATTGGTATGGATTGTAATTGAAACTAAAGGCCCTAACTTTATTTATTCATGTAATCAAAGAATTGCATTATTAACTTAACAATATCTTCTATAAGAAATTTCAATTGATTACATCAGTTTGCTAAGATGCTAAGTTTGTAGAAAGTTGTTTGCTAACAGCAGACACTTTGTCCAAGCTCTATGTGTTGAGTCTAAGATTTAAGCTAGTCCGATTTTTTCCACCCATCCCTTCAAGCACCCATCTCCAGTTATCCCTTCTTTGTGTGCACGCCGGTTTAGTTTTAGTGATTTAAGAAACTCCAGGAAGATCATGTTGCCTTTGAGGAAGTGGCAAGTGTAATAGCAAAAGATATGTGCAAGATACTACATTTCTTATATAAATATTTATTAAGAAACACAATTGCGCCATATTCATATTATCAATGATGAAAGTTGCAACCTTAAAACTAGAATCAAATGAAAGAAATCCTATCTGCTTAGTTAATGCAATAATTTTTCTTTGCAGTTATGGTGACTTTATACATGTCTTGATCAGCTATGTCATTTGCTATTTTAGAACCATAAAACGGGGAGATTTGAAAGTGCTAAGTACTTACTTTTTGGGCATTGTTAGCGTTGGCTGATCTGATTATGGGCGTGCCTCCGTCACTCTTCTGTAGGGGCAATATTTCAGCTCCTTTTCCCAATACACTCCCCTTTTGGATCACTGTATATGGCCCAATTGTTGAATTTCGGCCAATTCTAATGGAGTGGAAGCTTAATATTCCATTCTTCACCTCATGGCTTTGAATTAGTGCCCCTTCTGCAACCACAGCTCCATGTCCAATTGAAACTAAAGATGGGTCAGTAATATCAACAGTATCTAGCAAAACTGACGACCCAATTCTTGCTCCAAGCATCTCAAACCAGTAATTTAAGAATACCGTTCCTCTCAAATGCTCTGCAAATACTTTTGAAGATATTTGTTGGACTTTGTAAAGTGCCCACCACTTAACAAAATCAATTGACCAAATGGAAATGTCATGACTGAGTGCATAGTTTGGTCTCAAGAATGGATTTCCAAAGATAGCAATGCATATGCAAGTTAAAGCTATGCAGAGGATCCAAACAAGTGGTGCAAGAGCCAAATATATCAAATAGGTCGACCAGTGTATTCCACCTGTTGTTGTGTGGCTCACGGAGGTGAAAGTCATGAATGCAGACACTGATAAATATGCAGGCACACTCAACATGATAGACACGAAGAATAGAGCCAGAAATTGTAGACACCAGATGCCCGCTTGGCGATATATAGATACTTCCACCAGATGCTCATCAGAATCGAGATCAGGTTCAGAAAGAAGGGATGAAGTTGTCATAAGTTCAGGTTTAGACTTTGCCATGAGATTCTCTGAGAAGTTTGCCAAGTCCGCAATGCAGGTTGCAGTGAAGATATCTACTGCTCCAACTGGCACGCCTAGATAATCTGAAAGCTTTTGAGCTGCTCTGACAACACCAATTGAATCAATTCCATACGAGACAAGGCTTTCAGTAGCAGAAATATTCTTGGTGGGGATCCCGGTTAGCTCAGAGATTAGGCCTTTCAGGAATTCTACAATGTCCTTATTTCTCAATCTTGGACTTAGTAAAGGAGAACTCAAAAGTAGACGAGGTGTTCTCCCTTCTTTACAAGTCCCAGTAGTGAATGATCGGACCAAAGTTCTCTTTGAAAAGGTTGGTTCTTGGACAATGTTCAAAGATCCCTCAGTAAATTGTTTGAGGCATTCAAATCTCTTGATCTTTCCGGATGTTGTTTTACTGATGGTCTTGGGCTTGATCAGTTTGATGGCAGCAACATTAACACCGTGTTCTTCTGTAACACGTGTTTTAATTTGTTCAATGATGTCCTTATCAACAGGGTTTCCATCTCTAACTTCTGCAATTACAACAAGGCCAACATTGTCAGAACCATCTGGAACTGAAATTCCTTTTTCCGATAGGACTTCCTCTGGAACACCAATGACAGCACAACAACCAGGCCGTAAAAGTTCAGATGAGCTCTCAACCGTCTTTTCTACATCTGCTGAGTAAATATTCCTTCCTGCTACAATTATTATATCCTTGATTCTTCCTGTGATGAACAAATTTCCATCAATGATTCGTCCCAAGTCTCCAGTTCTAGTGTATTTTCTTCCTGTGTGATTTTTTAGCCCATTTCTAAACGTTTGGTGGCTATATTCTTCCCGACCCCAATACCCAATGCCAGCACTTGGACTACTAATCCATATCTCTCCTTCTTTTCCAACTTCTTCAAGCTCTACACCAGTCTCTGGATCAACTATTCTTATGTCAACATCTTGATTATCTGGATCAACATAACCACAGCAAACTCTTCCCTGCCAATCAACCAAGATGGGCTTCCCTTCTCCATAAGCACAACCGACAAAGACGCAATTTTCAGCCAAGCCATAACCAGGAGCCATCACCTCTTGAGAAAGGCCAAATGGACGAGTGAGCTCAACAAATCTTCTCAGGGTTCTCTGTCTTACTGGCTCAGCAGCAACCATTAGGAAAATAAGGGAAGAAAGGTCATAGTTCCAAACCTTATCCTCAAACTCCAGTCTTCGAACCACTAGCTCAAAAGCAAAATTGGGGCCAGCACTGTGAGTTGCTTGGTATTTGCTCATGGTCTGAAGCCACATGAGGGGGTTTCTGATGAATGTCATTGGGGAAAACAGTATTGCCGAGCCCCCACTAAGCATTGCAGTAAAAAGTCCCCCAATGAGGCCCATGTCATGGTATTGAGGAAGCCAACTGACTAATACTGTCTTTGAGGTGCTCTTGTATATCTTTTGCATCAACTTCACATTATGAATAAGCCCGCCGTGAGTAATCATGACCCCTTTGGCATCACCAGTTGACCCAGATGTAAATTGCAAAAAACATAGGTCATTTGGCTGAGGTTCGGGTTGACCAGCTATGTCATGGAGAAGTACTTTCTTGAAGTTCTTGATCCATGAATCCGTGTGCAACCAAGGAAGATTAGGCCAGTTAGCTGATGATTTTCCATTCTTTCCAGTCAATGAGAGTAGATTCTTCACCATGCCGGCCCGAACTGCTGAGTGATAGACAATAGTTGATAAAATTGCCACTGCGCCACATGATTTGACAATATTTTCAATCTTTAAAAGTGCTTGTCCGCCTCTCTGTAGAGGATCTGGAGGAAGAACTGGAACTGGTAGCACCTTCGCTCTTAAGCAACCAAAAAATGCATCAATGAAGTCCAGACCTGGAACATAAACTAATAGAACCCTGTCACCGGGCTTGATGGCTGGTTTTCTGCTTGTCAAGATCTTGTGAGCGATGGAGAAAGCATTAGCATGAAGTTCTGCATAAGTCTTTTGGCCGACCGCTGCACCTTCCTCGTTAATCCAAGTATAAAGTGTTTTGCTTTGCATAACTTCATGAGTTCCCCAGTGCTTCAAATAGCCATCTAGTGTAGACAGATCAGGAAATTGCACTCCTGGCTCTTCACCTAATTCTTTGGGATTTCTATTCCCACAATCTGAATTTAATGGAAATAAACTCTGCAAAAATCACATTATAAGTCAAGTTCTGGTTTGGATCTTTGATTTTAAGCAAACAATTCGGAACATAAATTTCCCAGTCAAAAATTGATCGCCTCAATCATGTAATTATGTATATTACCTTAACATATGGAAGCACTGGCGGAGAATTGTTATTGGCAAAGTGCCTGCAGACTAGGGCCATTGCATAAGAAGAATTCCTCTCTGTAAGCTCAAATGCAGTAAGCCCACCAACATAGTAAGTATTCCTTTTACCTTGAAGTTCAGACTCTATGCGCTCGTAAAATCCATTCTTCATATCTGCAGCAAAATTAAAATATCAGCATCCATCTGGTATAGTTCAATGGTCTAGCAGCAGCTGCTTTAGCATACCTTGACTAGAAACGTGAGGGAAATACTTAAATCGTCGTTGTAGAACCACCTGCTCAACTTCTCCGCCCATGGTTTCAACTGCTTTTATTGCAAGCTCACAGACAGTTGTTCCTTGAATATTAAGGGAGTTGCCATATGACCAGAACAAGAAAATGTCAGCATCAGCGAAAAATCTCTGCATTGCAACAGGGTGTCCAATTGTTGCAGGATCTTCCATATATTCGCCAAAGTAATAAAAACCAACAGGCATCTCTTCCAGCCCTTTTATTTTCAAGGCAGTAGTGTAGTAGTCAATTGTCATTACTTTACTGAACAGCTCCCTTTCAAGATCATTCAAATCCATTACTTCAGTTTCATTCTCTGTGGCAAAAATACTCGGTTGAGCTTCTTGTGGGCAGGGTAGAAAAGAAAAACAGAGAAGGGAGGAAGAGAAGAAAAAGAAGCTAGGCTTACAGAAGTTGACAAACCTGTAGGATTTGAAAGTGGTGATCTATATGTTTTCCCATTCTTGAAAGGAAAGGCTCCTGAAACGATAATCTTATCGAACTCCATAACTTCAGAATCCCCATTAACGTTTTTAACATCAATACTGGCACCAAGAGCATTTCGTCTTACTGCCAATACTTCAGTGTCACAAAGGAGTTTCACTGGAAGAGACTTACTGATCTTCTCCCAAAAACTTGTGTATCCACCTTTGAAACGTCGTATTTTTCCAGCCATTGAAGTTCTTGTGAACTCGTGGATGTAGGCATAAGGCATGTCTTGAACGAATCCATAACCAGAAGCAGTATATCCATAAGCTACAGATTTTGGAACAGATTTAAATCCGTGACCCTCAAGATAAGTTGGTGTTAAGTCTGCAGCCAAGTTGCTCACAGCATTGACACCAATTCGATTTGAAGCCTTTGCTTTATCCTGTGAAAAGTAAAGTGGATTCTTAAACTGACTCCTGACTTACTAGTCTGGAAACAATGAAAGTAGCAACTAACCTGAAGTTCTAATGTTAGTGAGATCATAGACACATAATCATCCGCAACTTTAATATCCTGATACTTCCCTGTAGAACTGTCTATATGAGCAAGCTTGTGGGAGTCCATTTCTTCGAATTCAGACCCAATCTCTTTTGCCAAGTGAAAGATGACTGGTGCGCTGTTTGCAGCAAGAACTTGGCCTCCTAAATCATAGATCTTTCCTGCATGATGACATATGGCACAAGTAGTTAACATACAGAGCATTAAATTTAAATAATAATAAAAAGAAACTCATTTTAGTACCTTGTATTTCCACTGATTCGCACATTCCTGCTACTGTATGATACTTCTCTAATATGGTTACATTATTATAACCAAGCTTGATTAGCGCATAGGCAGCAGATATGCCACTAGGACCAGCTCCTATGATCCCAATACTTGTGTTTGTAGGGAGGCATGGATGCAACTTGGAGAATTGATCTTCTATTGATTTTCCTTGGTCCATTTTTTGACAAGTTTAGACCTCCTACCAGCAGTGACTGTTGAACTCAAGAAAAAAATCGTGTCCAACTTCCGTACATTTCTAATTTCCAGTTTCTGCAGAGAGCCACTGTACAAGGATAAATCAAATAAAGTCCTGAATTTAAAAATGGAACTTGAGGGTGCAAAAGGATGCTCTTATGCACCTTCTTGTCTATTCTGCTAACGAAAGAAGGCTTATATAACCTCTAAAATCGACACATGAACAGAAGGACAAACATATATAGTTGAGTTAACAATCCTAGCAAGAAGCTGACAGGGGAGAAATGTGGATCATACAAATTTATCATGAGGAAAATCCAAAATGCAATAAAACCTGATAGTAACTAGCTATGTTCATCATCGCTGCCACTATTTAGAACATTAATGAATTTACTTTAATAAATACTGCTGCCTGGTTCTGCAAGAATCGCAATAAAAAAGAGGAGTGCTCGATAAAACAAATTAAACACCAAAAACCTGAACTTGTTTGGCATGGTGGTTTTCATACCACAATTTTCTGCCTATGCAGAAAGACATTTTTCTTAGTGCAGCAAACGTAAACACGAAGCAAACGGGAGCAGAAAGCCTGAAAACAATAACAAAACTAGAAGAGGCTGTCCTGGCAGACTTAAAAACCATGTGTGAGATTAAAGACTTGTATGGGAACAAAACCTTACAAATTATAAAGAATGCAGAGTATGACGTCTTTTCCATACCGGCATGAACAATTCCGAACACAGTATGAACCACACTCCCTGTTATGCCATGACATGACCACCACAACCACAAGCTAAAAAATCAAACCTTTTAGACGTTCTAACAACACATAGCATATTACATTCTTCTTTCCAAACTCAAATTTAAGAACATATATTCTACCCCACCAACAAAAACAAACACATTGGTTCTTCAGTAAATGCATTATATTTGTTTCAATCGGAAACTAGGCGGTAATAAGTTTAGAAGCAGCCAGGATCTAACCTTGGAGATGAAGTGGGCAAAAGAGTCTGAGGCCAAATGGCGAAAGAAGTGGAGAAAAGATTAAGAATTATAGAAAGCGTCAAAGAAGCTGAAGAAGCCGTATCTGCATACAAGAAATCTGCTGAGATCACAGTCGAATTTAAACACGGAGAGATTCCTGTAGCCTCCATCGAGAAGACGACAAATCTCACTGTTGTTAATATTCGATATTCCTCGTTTACTCCGAGCATGTTCTTTCTGTTTCGCATATACGGTTTCTTTGATGCTCATCCTTCCCCGTCGAAGCTTGGGAACACCGCCGCTTAAAACGAACAACATTAATAACGACTAAAATCTCTCTTACTATGCCTTCATTCATGCACACATACGCATGTGTTTCTATATGTTCATATACCTTTTAACAAAACAATGCAAGGAATCTATGGGGAACCAACAGATTGGGAAAGACGACGAGTTGGATTTCTTGGAAACGATTATGTGTCTTATGTGGATTCAGTGGGTACAGTATTCGAGTTTAGTGTCCCATTCCAATTGTTGATTCTCCCATTTACAGAACCTTAAACCGTCAGCATAGCTTAGAAACCTGTGTTTTCATCGTAATCAAAAACAATTATTTTGATTGCATACCAGGAAATTCAAGGGACAAAAATTTAAACTTCCGATCTTTAACTTTTGAAAGACAGACAGAGAATTGTTAAGTTCCACCTGGATTCTTCACGGCATTAAAATTCGTACAAGTGATACCCGAGAATTGTTGAGTTTTCAAAGAAAAGATTTCCAGAAATCTAAAACTTGAAGAACAGAGGAAGAGAACAAAGAAGGGGGAAGTGATGAATTAGTGAAAACTGGAAGCGGCCAAAATTCATTTCATATGATGCTGATATACAAGCATTTTAAAATAAGAAACCACCCGAGCTTAGATTTAGCTTGGGAAAGCAACCACAAAGCACAGAAAACCAGTATAGTTTTCTGCGCAATAACGACTTCAGTGAGTAGCAAACCCAGTGGCTGTTAATCCTTACAAAGAAAGACTCAAAACGACCAAGAAAATAAACACCATACAAAGATTTTCCGTTCTGGAGAGCTCAATTTTGTAAAGTTGATACGAAGACCCTTTCATGTCCATGATTGTTTTCTTCAACCTTTTAAGTTATCTTTTTCCCCTCCAAAACACTGTTACTTTAGTTTACCAGACTTGGATCACTTTTTAACACGCCTCCATGATCTAATATTCGATAAACATCCAAACACGATCTCAGAAATTCAAACTTATCTTTGTTTAATTCTTTAGTAAGGATGTTAACCAATTGCTTGTAAATTGGATGGTACTACAACTCAACTTCATTCTCTCTCACAGCATCTCATAAGGCATGATATTTAACCCTAATGTGCTTAGTTCGATCATGCTGTACAAGGTTTTTAGCAAATGCAATGGCAGACTTGTTAACAAGTTTTAGCACCGTACGTTCTCTTGTTTAAATCCCAAGTCAGACAAAATCTTCCTTAGCCACTGAATATCAATAGTAGCAGTGGCTATATATTCAGCCTCTACCGATGATTAGTTCACTATTTCCTGCTTTTGGGAGTTCCAAGAGAAGACTCCATCCCCAAATAAGAAGCAAAATCCTCCTGTGCTCTTCGAATCATCTATTGACCTTGCCCAATCACTATCAATGTACCTTTGAAGATCTGCACTCTCTGATTTGAAATACTTGAGCCCAAAATTCATGTGCTTTTTATGTACCTCAGTATTCTATTAACAGCTTTAAAATGCATCTCACTAGGAGACTATATGAACCTTGACAACAAACTGTGGAGAACATTATATCCGATCTTGTTGTAAGCAGATATAATAAAAAACTAATCATACTCTTATAGACAGAATCACTAGCATCAATTGTCCCATCATTCTTCCTAAGCTTATCTCCAGTTGACAATGGTGTATGCATAGGCTTATAGGACTCCATTTAGAACTTTTTCAAAAGATCTTTTGCATATTTTGACTAATGTATAACAATCTGATCTACACTTTGTTGAACTTCCATTGAAAGAAAGTAAGTCATCAGTCAAAGATCAATCATCTCAAAAACATTCATCATCTGATCTTTGAATTTTTTTCAAATAATCAGTAATAGGTCATTGATCAACAAGTCATCTACATATCATGTTACAATCAACATAACTGAATCATTTGACCTCTTGACATATAAAGTAGGTTTAGGGTCATCAAGCTTCTATTGAACCCTTGATCTTTGAAATGTTTATCTATTCTTTCATACCAAGCTCTTGGAGCTTGTTTGAGACCATGTAAAGATTTAATAAGCTTACATACCTTGTTTTCAAAACCTTTTTGTTCATAACCTTCACTTTGTTGAATGTAAATGTCTTCTATCAAGACTTCATTTAAGAAAGCTGACTTAACATCCAAATGAAATATCTTCCACCTTTCCCTAACTGACAAAGCAACTAGTAATCTAATTGTGTCATGCCTTGCTGTAGGGCAAAAGTCTCTAAAAAATCAACTCTATAAGTTTGTGCATATTTGTGAATAATCAATCTGACCTTATACTTGTTGACAGTGCCATTAGGATTTAACTTGGTCCTGTAGATCCATTTAACATTGTTTGCTTTGTTTATCAACTAAAGTCCAAGTTACTTTCTTCAATATCATGTTCATCTCAACATCCATTGTAGCCCTCTAATGTGCAAAAGAATTTGCCTTAATGGAGCTTACTAGATCAAATTGAACATCCCTGCTAATGAATAGCTTCTTAGATTCAGGATCATAAAGTATGAAACCTTTAGAATGCTCATTGTAACCAAGATGTATAGCTAAGACAGATTTAGGATCTAGCTTAGTCTTTTTCTCATTTGAAACCTTGGTATAACAGATGTAACCAAAGGTTTTCCGGTGACTTACAAATGGTTTGTGCTAAAACAATTGTTCATAATGTGTTTTGGGGACAAAAGACCTTATATAGGTCATGTTTAACAAGTAATTAGTAGTATTGACTACTTCTACCCAAAATACCCTTAGTAAGTTCTTCTCAAATGATAAGCACCTGGCCATTTTAACTAGGGTCCCGTTCTTCCTTTTGAGACACCATTGTTGCTAGGGTGAATATGTCACTGTAAGTTGGTGTTTGACACCCAGCTTTACTAAGAATTCTTTAAATTCAACTGATGTGAATTCTAAGCCATTGTCATTTCTCAGAACTTTTATATTAACTCTGCTTGATTTTCAGCTAAGGCTTTGAACCTTTTGAATTTTGCAAAACTTCTAATTTGTTTATCATGGAGAATATCCAGCAGTATCTTTTCATATCATCAAAGAACAAGATGTAACACCTGTTGTTGTTTAATGACAAAGTTTTCATTGGGCCACAAATGTCAATATGAACAAGTTCAAGTTTCTGAGAAGCCGTCCACTTTTTTCTTTTCGAAATGACTTCCTACACTACTTTCCATATTGACACACTTCACACAGCTTGTTAGGTTTCATTATAGCAGAGAAGCCTTCCACAAGCTCACTAAAGACCATTTTGCTCATTGAACCATAGTTAACATGTCCCAATCTCTTATGCTAGATCTTAGATAAGTTAGTTTCATTATAGTAAGCATTCAACTCAGTTTCCATCAAATTTAAAGGGTAACATTTGTTTCTCATTTTGACAATCAACTATTCCACACCAAAAAGGTCAAAAATGGTGCATTGCTTATCTTTGAATAACAATGCATAATGATTATCATCTAGTTGCCTTACACTAAGCAGGTTCTAATCAACTTCAGGTACATAATGCACATCATTTATGAACTTAATACTAGAAGGAGTGTCAACATTTATAGTCCTAATGCCAAGTATACTAAGATAAACTCCATTATCTATTTTCACATGAGCTTTATAACTTCTATCAAGTTCAGTAGACAAGCTTTCATTACCTGTAAAATGATTTGAGCACTCACTGTCAATCAACCAAATGTACCTAGCTAATGAGTTACCTCCACTTAAGCCATGAACACTAACTTTTTAGGTTCACCAGCATTTGCAGCTACCACAACTTTACCATCTACTTTAGATTTCTAATTTTTTCATACCTTATCAACATGTCCTAGCTGATTACAGGCCCTGCACTTCACATTTTGGTCTACACGAGCAATATTTTGGAGTGTGATTCTTATTTTTGTAGTGAGGGTATGAAGGGTATTTTTCATTCGTCTTTCCCTGTTTCCCCTTGCCAGATTTACTACCCTTGCCTACTAGCTTCTTTGAAACTTCACCTTTAACTCTTAAGCTTTTGGTTTTAGCAACCAAAGAATTTTCCATAGTTTTCAAACCTAAGGGTTCTCCTCTGCTCTTGAGCCAAAAATGCATTAATCAACTCTGTTGTTGAGAGCCTAGTTAAATCTTTTGAATCTTCTAATAATGATAATAACTCTATGATATAAAGTTCTGTGAGCTTAATTTTGATTGTAATTTAGTTTAGTTCTTGTAGTAATACATAAAAATTAGTAAGTTTTATTTAATAATTTTAAATTAGTTAATTTAAGTGAGTCATTCTAATCTTAGTTAATTTTATTGATTTATTTATGCTTTTGTAGGTGTTTGATGAAGAAGAATTTTAGTGGAAGAAGAAGAACAATTTTATGGTGTAGACCTCTACTGCATATGTTCCACTATTTTGATCATAACTCTCTCTATAGAGCTCCAAATGAGATGATTCTTAGACCATTGAAAAGATAAGAGAAAAAGATACAACTTTTATGTTCGCCACTTTACCTAATTCAATATGAAAGATGGTCAAAAATCTTGTTGAAGTTGAAGTATTATAGTTATCTTAGAACAATTACGATTTCTGCTATTTAAATGGTTTAGGCCATGGCTTTAGAGGTAGTAGGCCACAACTCACGTAGTCTGATGACAAAATCTTGATTGAAATTGACTTCTTTTTTCACTCAACTTGACCTAACTTTAAAGCTTATAAAAACAATATTTCAGAGGACTTTTGAAAAGAGAAGACAACAAAACACCAGATTGACAGCTAAGAGTAAAGCCACAGTCATTGAAGCTAAAAAGAATTGAAAGATTCAAGAAGACTTGGATATCAAGAATAAAATTCTTGAGTTTTTCTATCCTTTTTTTATTCTCTTATTTTCTAGGTTTTGTTTTTAATATTTAAACTTTATTAAATGATGATATGTGACTTGATGGGGAATTAAACTTTTAAGTCTAAGATTATGATTGAAGTCAATATGTACTCTGATATTTATCTCTTTTTCGCTTATGTTTGATGGATTTAAGTTGTTTATTTTATTCTGTTCTTAATACTTCTAATTCCTTAATCACCAATTTGATTGAACTGAAAACCTAGATTAAACCTTGATGAAG